CGCAGACGTGCTCATGGCTGTGGTAGCCATGGCTGCTATAGCACTGGCCTCGCTAGCAAATGCCCTGCTGGCCTCGGCTGCTCTAGCTCTCCTCTGTTGCTGCCTCTCCCTGTGCCGGCGGAACAATTCCCTATCACCCTCCGGTCCTAAAGACACGTGGGATACCGGTCCTCTAGCCGATCGTAAGGTCCTGTGGTCGTCCTCTCCGGTGTCCTCAACGTCGCTCATAGGCTACAGCACTGTGCACTGTCCACACTAGATCATTCTAGATGCCTACCGCAGCATAGTACACAGACCAACTAATTAGTGGTGGCTATTTTTAGAACAGATCTCATTTGGGGTCAACAGGTAAGTGAGGTTCCTACTGTCAATACTATTTTTAGTAAGATTAGTTCCCAAACAGAGAAAGCATCAGGAATAAATAATATTCTAAACCAATGCTGTCTGTCAGATGTCACATGGCTGTCCATCTAACTAATCAATAATAAAAATAATGTTGACTGACCGGGTCTGTTTACAGTTTGGAATTTAAACCCGAACTTATCATCTGAAATCTACCCCTCCCTTTGTTCTTCTCAATGTCACGGTGTCACGTTTCTCTGCATCAGAAGCCAAGCGTGTCTCAAAGGTGTGCAATCCGGTCCCACCCCTGTGCCCCGGGTTATCGTCGAGCAAGGTAGCCACAACACTCTTATTTACCCTCGTACGCCGACGAGCCTTCCACTCGGATGATCTGGCTGATCAAGAGGCAATTTAACGTCCGCCCCCAAGTGACATCAGGAATTATTTTACGTCGCAGGAGGACGACGATCACAGCCAGATCAGAGCCGAGTCCCCAGCCAGAAATGTTTATAGACGGTCTGGTATGCGTCTGTAGAGGCTGCCACACTCGAGTTAACCCCTATCATGCGCAAGCAGCAGAACCAATGACTTGCAGCGAAGCATGCGTGTACTACACCCAGTGGGTTGGCATGGTGACCGTGACCCAGTGCTTCGTCCAGGGCCCTTCAAGAAGCTCCGCCCGTCTTCCCCCAGATGCTCCTTGTGAACAATCACGACTCTAAAGGTTGAGCGCACTCGACACCTCACGATGAGAGGACTCTCAAGACAGAACTCACAACCTCACGGTAAGAAGTGATGAAGAGGGTAGATAAGCTCAAGAGCAACGTACCTCGTTCATGCTGCCCCCAACCACAGAGATAATCTCACCAGATGACCTGAAGATGATTGCGATGACCAGTCACAGCATCGGCACAACCAGCATTTCGCCGTTCCACCTCAGCCTCAATCACCCAACAGATAGTTCTCATCACACTGCGAACACCCAATATTTACACCTTAGCCTTCCAGGCGATGCCCCTTACCACCTGGGTCGCCTTCATACTCGTCTCCACCCTCCTCACTACACACCACTTACGGCCAAACTCTCCCAGCAGACCGCATGTATGTACCGTATAAGGCAGAAGACAAGCGCCAGATGAGCGCAATCGTACCRCARMTCTGATACCAAATTGCAAGGAAGATGAGCATTAGCGAACTTCATCAATCAAACAGCATCATACATATGAGCCCAGATAGTCTTGACCTCGAACCACAGCAGACTTGCATCACGAGATACACCAAATAAGAACACACCAAGAGTTCAAAATTGACAATGCTGAAGTAGTCCCATCATCATCAACTACGAACCGGAGTTGATATCCTATTGGCGCTCAGCGCCCAGACTACATGTGGCAGATCCTATCTAGCCTATACTACGAAGCAGAATGATGACATCAACAGCGTTCCCGATGTACGAGCATATGGCGACCAATGTCGCACGCTTCAGCACCAGGTATGTCTCTCGTAACACTCACAACCCCGATCCACACCGCACAGATGCCACTAGCATCCCAAGGACCACCCTGCGCTTCACCTAGCATACAGCAGCGCAGCTTGGCTATGGCTGCGTGCTCTCTCCTACTCGCCCGTGAGAGCGTGAGTGCCAGCCAGCCAGCGGATTACCCAGCAGCGCTCACGCAGCATGCAGCCAGCACCCGAATGCCAAATGAGGAGGCAGGCCCTTCCCTATATCGAAGTGGCCTGCCTGCGTCCAGTCCAGGAAGTTTCCGGTA